GGAGTGGCCACGAGCAGAATCCTTCGGCGATGAAGTCCACCACGACTTGACCCTTAATGGTCGGTCTTAGGGCGTACTCGATATCGTATTCGCTAAGCTTGATCGCCCACTTGATCAGCCTTCCTGAGGCGTCCATTCCTCGCATAATACTCTTGAGCGGGAGGTTGGACAGTACCGTGATGGGGTGCCCTTGAAAATATGGTCTTAATTCCCGGCCGCAGAAGCTACGGCGAGAATCGCTTTTTCAACCGCCATGTACCTTGTTTCCGTGGGGAGGAGTGCCTTGCTCACATAGTAGACGGGTCTGTCGGCGCCGTCTTGCGCTCTTCTCACCAAGACTGAGCTCACTACCTGTTCGGACACAGCCAGGTAGAGATAAATGCGCTCTCCGGCGATGGGGGCGCTAAAGACTGGTGGGGAGCTAAGTTGGCTCATAAGCAGTGCGAAGGCCTTGTCGCTCTCGGTGCCCCACTGGAGTCTTGATGCCGACTTCTTTAGCATTTGGAAGAAAGGACAACACTTGTATGTGGACCGCGAGATGAACCTCCCGAGTGCAGCCATTTTGCCGTTGAATGCTTGGATCTCCTTGATCGACTTGGGCGATTTTAAGTTGAGAATGACCTCAATTTGCTTTGGGTTTACTTCAATGCCCCTCTTTGTGATCATGAAAAACTTTCCCGCTTTAGCTCCGAAGACACACTTGAGTGGGTTGAGCCTCAGGCTCCTCCTTCGTAGATTCTCGAAGGTCTCACGCAAGTCGGATAGGTGGTCGCTAGCCTTCTTGCTCTAGACTAAAGCGTCGTCTATGTATACCTCTACGTTCCTTGCCATTTGGTCTTTGAAGACCGCATCAACCATACTTTGCTAGGTCGCTCCTGCATTTTTCAAACCGAAGGGCATGACCACGTAGCAGAAGTTGCCCATGGGTGTCATGAAAGCGGTAAGCTCTTGGTCTCATTCGGCCCTTCTGATTTGATGTTATCCAGAAAACATATCCAAGAAGCTGAGTGCTTCGTAATTGGTGGTTCCATCGATTAGTTGGTCAATGCGGGAAAGGGGATATGCATCCTTGAGGCATGCTGCATTGAGGCTGGTGAATTCAATACACATCCTCCAGGTGCCCCCTGCCTTGCGTACAAAGACCGGGTTTAAGAGCCATGTGGGGTATTTTACCTCCCTGTTGAAGCCAGCTTTGAGTAGCCGCCGCACCTTTTCTTTGAGAGCCATGTGCTTCTCTACTGACAAGTGTCTTCTTTGCTATTGTATTGGTCTCATTTTGGGCTTGACGGAGAGGCGGTGCTCGGAGACCCTGCTGGGGACGCCGGGCATGTCCTCCGATCCCCATGCGAAGAGGTCTTGGAACTCCCTAAGGAGCGTGAGCAGCTTTTGAGCGAGTGCTATGTCTCCCTCAAAAGCTTCGGGATGCGGGACATCCCCTCATGCGTCGATGATGTCGACCTCGAGATGCTCAATGGTCGCTTGATAGCACTCCTTGGCTTCTTTTAGGTTGCCTCGGACGCTCCCCGTCTGTCCTCCACTAGGGAATTTTAACATCTGGTGGCATGTCGACGCGACCGCTTCGAATGAAGCAAGGAAACCAAGTCCTAGGATGGCGTTCTACGCCGAAAGACAATCTGCTACGTGGAACCCCCGCCTATGATGACCTTGAGTGTGATTGACCCGAGGACGGAGACCTTAGTTCCTAAGAACACTACCAAGCTGGTGTTGGAGGGGTTGAGGTCTTGTGCGCTCTTCTTCATGCCTTTGAGCGTTGAGTAGAAGAGGATATCTGTGGAGCTTCCGTTATCTATGAGGGCCCAGGTCACCTTAAATTTGGCGGTGCTGAATGAGACGACCAAGGGGTCTTTTGTATTTTCTTCCTTGGCTAATTCGGACGGCAAAAAGGTGAGGTCGGTGGGCACTCTACGTTGGACGCTGAGGCAGTGGGCTATGTGGTCTCCCTCCGATCTGGGACGCTTTCTGCCCCTGCGATGGTTATGATCTCCATTGCGTCATCATCTTTGCACAGGGGTCTGTAGGGGGGATACTACCTCTGGGGAGAGATGACCTTGTTTCTTGAAGGGGATCTTAACCTTTCCTTCCTTGACCTTATTGCTTTGTCTACTTCGGGACCACAGGAGCCCTCCCGCCTTTCCTAAGAGTGGTCTCGATGAGGACGACGTGTCTCGAGGCGATTTGTAGGTCTCCCGGCGCCAAATATATGAGACTGGCTTTGAACTCCCTACACTCTGTGGTGTCATGGGTAGTGATTTGGTGCCAGTCGCACCACTTCTTTCCGTCTTGCGGCTCTTGTTCGGCGGAGGACGTCTCATGTTTCCTCCCGCCTCTTCGTCTTTCTCTTCCACTTTTACGGTCAGTAGAAATTACTTCCCTTTTGCCGTCGCGTTTCGTGTATCTGCTGCGATACAATTTTTGCTCCGGGGAGCGCCTCCCACGTCGAGCGTCTCCACGCTCTTGGGGATCGGTCCGAGGACGTCCTTGCTGACTTCGATCATTGGTAGCCAATGCTTCCTCAAGCAGGATTGCCCGTCGCACCAGAATTCTGTGGTGAGTCCGTTATGCCTTACATGTTGATACCTAAATTTTTATATTTACAAATAGATTCACATTTTTGAGGTTTCTGGTCTGCTTTAACAAACTTTTGGTCTCTTTGATAAACTTGTGGTATGCTTTTACGAGAATTCTGGTATGCTTTAAGAAACTTTTAACCTGCTTTATGAGGTTTTTGGTATACTTTAAGAAACTTGTAGTATGTTTATCAAGTTTCTGGTGCTTCAGAAAACTTTGTGATCTACTTTATGAGGTTTCTGGTATGCTTTAATGAACTTGTTGTATGCTTTAATAAACTTGTGATCAGCTTTTTGAGGTTTCTAATATGCTTAAGAGAACTTGTGATGTACTTTACGAGGTTTCTAGTATGCTTTAAGAAACTTGCAGTATGTTGTAATAAACTTATGATCTATTTTTAGAAACTTGTGGTCTGCTTCAGAGGACTTTGGAGTATGCTTTATGAGGTTTCTACTTCCTAGTCTGTTTCGAGGAACATGTGGTCTAATTTATAAGATTTGGGGTATGCTTTAATGAAACTAGTGATATGCTTTTTGAGTTTTTTGGAATTTTTTTGAGAAACTTGTGGTATGCTTTGAGGTTATCGGTCTACTTTATGAAAGCTTTCTGGTTTAGTTTACGCTATTTGTGGTGTGGTTTGTTCTATTTCTGGTATGTGTTTTGTGATATGTTTCATGATACTTGTGGTGAAGTCATGACGAAGTAGTTGTGTCTTGATATGATCCCAAATCGGTTAATCAACGAGCCAAAATTACTTGACAAAGAAGCTATCGAAGTTGGGAAGAAGAAAGATAAAATTTGGCTAAGTTATTTTTCGAGTTCATGGTACCTACTTTGGAGGCATGTTTCTCACATTTGGCTCAATGGAAATTTCATATTAATGGCTTGTATTGAACATGGAGTCACTATCTACACCTTGGTATGTTGGGTAGCCCAAGAAGAAGTCCAGAAGGTCATTTTCCAGTCGTCCAAAGATGCTATCTGAAAAACTGAAAACTGCCTGAAAATGACCAAGTCTGGAAACTGTTTTGTGAAGCCTACTTTGGAGCTCCAATTGAGGAGCATGGGTATGATTCAAGTCCAAAGGCTTCCACAACATGAAACTAGGTATGTTTGTATACAAAGGGAAGGAATTGGATGAAGGATTTGAGTTCTGGAAGGCTTCGAACGAAAGGCACGGAATTAGTACGAAATCACAGACTTTCTGCCTTTGTAAAACAGAATTGGTTTTCCTAGTTTAATTAGGATTAGTTTGTTTTGTATTTTAGAACCTCCGCCTAGACTCGACTGAATGAATTAGTTCTTCTTTGCCCGGGGAAAGAGCTTCCTAACACTCCTCGCACTCTACCTTTGGTCTTTTTGCTTGAGCCACTCTCTTAAATAGGGGGAGCTATTTTCACTCCTTCTTTCGCGACTCGAGGGCCTATTTTTTAGTTCTTATTCGCGTTAGATTGTAACTAGGGCTTATGTGGTCGAGAACTAACCTAGCTCAGACTATTTAAACATCTTTTTACGTTGTAATTGTCAGACTTTGATTAATCAAAAAGAAACCTTTAGGTTTTGTGCAAGTTGCGTACTTGTGAGAGTTTTGGTGGATTCCAAGCTCGAGTTTAGCTCTGTATCGATCAAAACCACATTGATCGTGGGCGGGCATCTACCTTTATATTATTCGAGCTTTCTTCCACGTGAAAGATTGCACGTTTGATTCCGTTTTATCCAAACACCCAAGAACATCCTTGTTTTGGTTCGAAATTCCGTTTAATCAATTCAACCTTTGAATTGATTCGTTGCTACGTAATTCTAATCACAAAGCACCCCGCTGGTGCTTTATCATGTCCCCCCTATTTTTAATAACGACAAGCATGTTCATCCCTTTATAAATAGGAATTAATTGTGATAAATCTCTTGGAATAAAAAGATGTTATCACAGCCTTTTCCTTTTAACGAAAACATACTGACATTTAACGAAAACAATCTATTGGATAACATCTTTGTAATGCATTTATAGAATACACTGCAATTGCCCTGAGTAATTCCCAATAACTTATAAAAAAACTTCACCCTCATTATTTTATCAGTTTATCAATATATATCAGTGTTATTAAAATCAAACTAAATCAGTACATCCGACTAATAAAATCAGAACCCGAACACTTACTTGGTTTTAATAAGTTATTCAGCTGCCTTTTTCGAACGGGTAGTTAGATGGTCCTGAGTTCAGGTCCTTAAGCCTCCTTTCTTAAGGAGCATCTTAAAGCGTTGTGATTGGTTGATTTGGTTTTAGGTAGTTAGTAAGGAGTTATTAGTTAACGAGGAGTTATTAGTTGTTACTTGTTAAGGGTATGTTAGGAATTATAAATAATATAAAAACTGAATAATAAATCCTACTAATTTTCAAACCCACATCTCGTCGGGTTTTCTCCTCACAGTGTAACAGGTTTTGTGTTAACCGGTCTCTTCAAGAGCAGTCTCCAGCCGTCTCCGAAGTCGGGAATCTTTGTCTTTATTATCCAGGCGTCCCTTCGTCAACAGTCTCCGGCCATCGGTGCCCCAACTTCCTGTTCGCCCAGTTTCATGTCCGGTCCTCGCTCTGTCCCCAAAATCCGTTCCCGGCCTTGCTTCAGTCCGTCGTCTATCCCGTTCATTCTGTCGTCGATCCCTACTCTCTCCTCGGCGGCGTTCAAGGTAATCTTCGTCGCCTTCCAAGGATTTCGTTCACTGACGATGGTCAGTACCTTTTCCCAATCTGTTGAATTAACGTTGAAGAGTTTTAGCCCGACGTTATTAATGTTTCTTCAGCGGGTATTAACGTTTCAAAAATATACATTATTAACTAGTAACGTGTTCTGTATTAACGTGTTTTGTTGGTAAATTTTAATATTTCACACGGCGTTATTAATGTTTCTTCAGCGGGTATTAACGTTTTAAAAATATACATTATTAACTAGTAACGTGCTCCGTATTAACCTGTTTTGTTGATAAATTTTAATATTTAACACGACGTTATTAATCTTTTTGTTGGTGGTCGAAATTGGTTTACTGATAAAGTTACTTATGAATTTAGGTGCACTGGTTCTTTAAACTTTCAAAGGGCTATGGTCAAAGTTGTGTTCATTTGTATCAATAAATTGATAATGACATTAGTAAAACTGATAATATCAAAATGCCTTAACAAATACAATTGACAATGAGAGTAGTATAACTCACAGGTATGCATTCATAATTTATATACACTCGTCAGTAATAGTATGAAGGTCATTATCAATATGTTTATATATTTTCATTATTAACGTACATACATTCTTTATTAATAATATCAGCTTCATTATCAATTTTACTAATCCCATTATCAATTATTTCTTGTACTTTTCGTATCCCGCATTACAAAGATTGTTAAAACTAATAATGTGTGTTGAGGGTTTTTCACTAATACCGTTTATGATCAATTTATGTCGCCATGATTTGTAATCTTTTGAAGAGCTATGGTCAATATCTTTACCTGCTCAATAGTCAATGTTTGTCGTATTGTGATTGTTGTCAGATAGGCCTATTAATTATGTTAGGTTGTGCTTTTAACTTTTTTATTATCGTTTTGTAATTGTTTTATCAATTTGTTGGTAATCGGTATTAATTCCCTAATATAGTTTATTATTAATTTAGTTCATAGTAATTTGTAATATTTGGAAGTGATGTCGTCAATCGTGCATGATTTGATAATGACCCGTCTTATTATTAAGCGTGTGCTAGTATTAATTTGTCTGCTGAATTTACGTATAATATTATCAATCTTAGTTTATTGTTAGCATTTCTTCATCCATTGGTAATATTTTCAAAGTAATGTTCAATTTTTTACTACTGTGCCATTATTTGTCGGTTGAATTAACGTGTAGTATTAACAATCTTTGTTCATTATTAGCGTTTTTTCAACATTAGTAATATTTTGAACGCCATTATCAATTTTTTTGTAGTGCTACACGATATGCCAAAATCCAAGATCTGTAAGAACAAACTTGTTATCGGCCCGCTACATCCGTTGCTTGCCATCGAAAAGAAACGCGACGGAATTTTCAACGTGACGGAGGAACCTGTGGATTGAGCAGCTGGTTGATTGAGGTTTTCGAGACAATGTAACAGAGTTGTCAACATTTTCAACCTTACATATTAGTGATTTGGCTTACATTATTAACATTTTTTACAGACGCTACTATAGTTATCAATAAAAAAGGTGATTTAATGGTCGTGTTGTCAACATTGTTAACCTCCGCGACTCTATTATTAATAATATTACTGAAAATATTAACAGGTAACTAAAACCATGTGACAAAAGGGGAGCCTATGATTTGAGATTTTTAGAGCAACGTAACGGAGTTGTCAATGTTGTCAACAATACATATTAGTTTTTTCACATACGTTATTAACATTTTTCCGTGATGTTATTATTAACGTTCTCAATCAAATTTGAAACGCGATTTATCGATCGTGTTGTAAACATTATTAACCTACCACATCATTATTATTAAGTAGATCATCAGAATTATTAACCAGTAACTAAAATGCTGTCACAATAAGATTAGCTTCTAATTGAGGTTTTTAAATTAACGTAACTGAGTTGTCAATGTTTTAAAGTTTATATTAGTGTTTTTGCCTGCATTATTAACATTTTTAGTGACGCTATTATTAATGTTCTCAATCAAATTGAATCACGATTTACTTGTGTTGTAAACATTTAAGTGATGCTATTATCAACCTTTTAGCTCAGTATTGTTAACAATATACAATATCATTATTAATATTTTCTACATAATTTAAAACAAAAGACGAATTAATTATTAAGAAATTCTTGTCATTTTTCAACGTAAATAATAATATTATGAACTAAATCCGCCTTGACACATCTTCTCCTCCTTCTGCAAAAGCTTCCGTCAGGAGGCGTGACAGCAGGAGAACGACAAGATGGGACGACAACCTAATAGGGAGATGTCGGATGGCGACGGAGTTAGCTAGGCAGGATGCGGCGGGATGGGGACGGGGAAGCTGACGGGAAATTAACGGCATGATGGCGTCGTGACGACGGGAAGATGGTGACCTGATGACGCGTCCACGGGACGCCGACGTCGGGATGGCAACGAGACGCAAACGTCGGGATTGCTGACGAAGCTTGGTTGTCGGGGAACGGGACGACGACTGAGTCTCCGAATGGTGTTCGAAACGAGCTTCGCGCCAAGTGGATGCCTACGGCGAGAAGGTTTAGGGTTAGAGAGGACAACCGTCTTCCGATAATGGCTTCAGCCGCCTCTTAATAAATCATGAGTTTAATTTTTCGTTTTTCATTTTAATTATTTTTATCTTTAATATTTACTATATTCCTTTCTTGTCCTTCTAGGTAGTTAGTCAATGATTAGTAATGTTTTTATCTCTCCTCTTCCTATTGGCTAGAATAGGTTTAAGATCTTCCTTAAGGAATGGGGCTTAAGGACCCGATCCAACCCGAGTTAGATGCTAGTTTGAACGATTAGCCACTCAGACCGGGCGACCGGACAGTCGGCTCAATGCATCTTATTGCAAAAATTAAAAAATTCCCAAATGCGAATCGGAATGAGTTGGGAGCTTTCCACACCTTTCATTGAGAACACGACTAAATGCCCTAAACCAAAGCTTTCTCAAGTGTTGAATCCCTCCAGAATCCCCTTCACTCCCTTCCCAGCGGGCTCCTTCTCGATTCGGATCCAGATCGACAAATCAAGAGGCTAAGAGAGGAACTGACGGAAAGAAATCAAAGAATGCAAGAAGTTGGTAAAGGAAAGAAGAGAATAAGAGGGACCAGGGGCGGAGCTACACAAGCGTGGGAGGGTCCCCGGCCCCCTCGAAAATTTTGAAAATCACGAATAAATGTTCGGGGTATTCAAAATTACGTAAATAATAATAAGATCCATGCAATAATTTATCAAATGAAGTTACTTAACCTAGCGGAGCCGTATGCATGCTACAGTCTAGCAGTCAATCAGTTGATGGTTAGATGCCCACTGATGTTAGGTTTAAATTTTATTTTTTTATTTTTTCACATATTCTTAGTTTGCGGTTATTAGTTATAGTCTTGATGTAAAGTTAATTTAATTTCTAACTCTATATTATATTTTTTCATTTTTTCACATATTCTTAGTTTGCGGTTATTAGTTATAGTCTTGATGTAAAGTTAATTTAGTTTCTAACTCTATATATTTTACTTTCGTGAGTTTGAAATTTAAGTTGTTCAAATTATTTTAGTGATAAATTTCTTCCGATAAGTTTAACTATAATTTTTATGGAAAATCAATCTAGTTATTTAAAATTTATACTTAGATTTCTTAATCATTTAAATTTCAACTTAATGACTTTCTTAATTTATCAAATTAAAATTTTAGATAGTTTTTTATACATAAATGATAATTTTCTTTTAAAATCAAATATTAAATAACTTGCTACAAATTGAAACAGATATTTGTTGATATTTTACTCATTTATATTGAAGATATCATAATATATTACATCTTGAACCAATCTAATTATTTGACAAAACATTATGTACATTTTAATTTGTTTATATAGTTATATAATTATTTTGATTTTTTTGTCTAGTTAGGTTAATATACTACGAAACATTTTCGGCCCCGATTCCAAAATTCTAGCTCCGCCCTGAGAGGGACGTAGTTTTTTTTTTATTGGGAGGAGGCTGAAAGCCAGAGAGAAGTAGTCGCCGAGGATCAAAAGAAAAAGCCTGGGCGGCCATCTACAAGCAGAGGACTCCGCCCAAAACAGATCCTGAACTCTCGGAGCAAAATGATAACCAAAGAGAAAGCAGACAACTATACTAATCCCCTATGCCAACAATGACTTGTCTAGGGAAGCTAACACCAATGATGTCTTCACGGAGGAGTCTCTCTAGATCCATTGGAAGTTCATATAGTTCATACGTACCAAAGGGATAGACGAGACTGTGCTTCGAGAGCCAGTCCGCGACTCTATTCCCTTCCCGATACGTATGCACCAAACGAACTATCCAATTCTAGGCTATCTGTCTGCGGATCATATTCAAAAGGGTAGCATGAGGGTGTACCGGGTCCCGTCTATTGTTAATCAGGTCAATGGCTAACTTGGAGTCAGTTTCCACAATCAAACACTGGATGTTCTTATTCCAAGCTATCTCCAGCCCTCTATGGATGCCCCACAGTTCTGCAAGAATAGCGGATCCGGTGCCAATATTACAGCAGAAGCCGCTGATCCAATCGCCATTCTCGTCCCTGATGCACCCACCTGCTCCCATGAGGCTTGGATTATCTTGAGCTGAGCCATCAGTGTTAAGCTTGAACCATCCAGCTGGGGGAGGACACCAGCCTATAAGCGTTTCTTCTCGATCTGGCTTTGTCGATTGATTTAGTTTAGCAGCTGCTGTTTCCCACGTCTTTGTCCAGTCGCTCGCTTTTGAGATTATATAATTGATCAAGGTCGGTCTTGACAATCTTGTCCCTTTGAAGATGAAGTCATTTCGATGTTTCCATATGTACCAACAAATAAGGGAGAAGAAATTGTTCCAGCCGCCTATCTCTTCTGTTTTGTCATCCTTTTCCATATTCTGCTTTAGCCAGGAATCATAATCTGCAGCAAACAAATCATGTTGTAATTGTTGAGGAACTATTTTCTCCCAGACCTGTTTAATAGTCCTGCAATCTCTCAAGCAATGCATATTAGTTTCAGGAATTAATTTCTTCTTCTGTATACATATATTATTGAGGTGATTTCGTATGGGAATTTCAGATGGACGGGCGAATTAGAGGATCATGTTAGGGTTTGGACGAGAGGGGCAATATTTGTGGGCTTTGAGCTCGGAGGGCCCAAGACCAAGTTGTTGGATTTATTTGTTATTGTTAATTTTAAATTAAGAATTTTAGAATTTTTATTTATTGTGGGTATAAAATTGATATATTTGCTATTTATATTGTCCTTATCTAGTATTAAGTATCTACAACTACAAGGCAATGGCTCGTCAATGGTTCAACCACTAAAATGTGACCCGTCTACTATATTGGTTCATGCTCCGCTTCTAGAATCCACGTTCTCTTTCTCCATTGGAGGAGAGAATAACTGCGTAGACCGGACCGCAGCCAGCGAATAACAACTAAATGCTCTGCTTGCCAGCTGTTAGCTGTACTACTTGCCTTCCCAATCTCTGCGCTTCTCTCTTCCCTGAAGCTGACCTCGCCTCAATCAACAAAGCTCTCAAGATTTGATACTTCCCTTTCCACGGAAATGCGACGACAGAGCGATAGGAGGAGGGCGAAGCTCAAGATCATGCCGCTGTCTTCTTTCCTCTCCGTTCTTCTGTGTATGGCACTCTCAATCCCTAGCGCGGACTCGAATCAGGAGAAGAGTTTGACTTCAATCTACGATGTCTTGACGGCGAAAGGACTTCCGAAGGGCTTGCTGCCTAAAGGGGTTACGAATTTCAAAATTGACGAGTCGTCGGGGGATTTCGAGGTTCACTTGGATCAGGCCTGCAATGCCAAATTTGAGAACGAGCTGCATTACGACTGCAACGTCACCGGGAAGCTGAGCTACGGCCAAATCGAATCCCTCTCCGGAATCTCGGCCAAGGAGCTCTTCCTCTGGTTTCAGGTGAAGTCAATTAAGGTCGACGTTTCGGACTCGGGGATTATCTGTTTCGATGTTGGGGTCGTTGTGAAGAAGTTTTCGGTTTCGCTGTTCGAGCTTCCCAAGGATTGTGCTGCCTCGGCTGCTGATGAGGCCAGGGAGGAAGTCCAGAGCGGGCGGTTCATCGAAGATGCAGTGACCGAGGTTAGTTCTTTAGCTCCATATCTATCTTTATCAAACTCCGCTCAATTGGCTGATTGAATCTGGCCCGCGCTAACTGCAATCTGTGGTCGTTCAATTGCATTTCTCGTTTGATATGTGCAGAGTCGGCGTGGTGAAGTAGTAAGCTTTGGAAGGGATGTTCTGTAAATGGGGTTCTCATTTCACCATGAAAGTTTCATGGACGAATTCTTTCTTCTTGTTTCCCTCCCCAAATTGGGAACGAACTACTGCTACTAGCTTCAGCGGATGGGTTTTTTTTATAGCGGACGGGATTCAGATAACAGTTGAAATGAGGGATGATTGTAGCAGAACACAAGATAAAGTGGGGGCAGGAACTTTTGGAGGAGGTGATCTCAGGTGATAAATATGCCTACTCGCTAAGTTTTTTTTGTGTGTTCAAGTTTTCTGATAGATATGGATATGGGTTCGGCAAGTTTGTTGTTTCCGAGTGCTTCTTTTGTGATAGAATTGATGCGAGTTGTATTTGTTTCAGGAATAAAAATTCTATAAGTGATTCGATTGATGGGATTTGGTATTATACTTATGAGATCGATGAGATTGATGTATAAAGGTTATTGTTGCCTCCATGTTTCGTACTAGAGCTTTGATCTCAATCTCCATATGTAGTGTGGATTTATTCAGTTGCCGGTGAATGATCGGTAGTGCACAATCCATCTCTCTGTTGCTGGAATTCATCAGAGTTTGAGCAGCAATGATATATGAGTAATCCCAGTGTTGTTGATATTACTATTAGCCAACTATTAGCCAACCGGGAATTTTCTTGAGCACTCTTTTTAATTTGATTAGAGAGGTTTGATTTGGCATCTTCAAAGCACCCCAAGTGGCCATAGGCTCAGATGGAAATTGCTGTCTACCATCTAAAGGCTGACTACAAGTTATGCTGGAATCAACGGTAAGAGATGTCAATCATATTTATAAGTTGATCTTCTTCATCGGGCAATGTTGCCGGACTAGTAGGTTTGATCAGCTAGCCACCTTTGCATTGTGCGGAAAGAGTACAGATTACAAAATCTCCCGAGCTTATCTTTGACGGCCTCTTCCATTTCACTGAGAGCCCTGTCTTCTGCTGTTTTTATTCTTTTTCCTCCTATTTTGTCTCTTGTTTGCTTTGACAGGGGCAAATGGGGAGTTGCAGTTGAAAATATGGAGGATCAAGGACAGGAGTTAAAGAGAATACTACAACAAAGAAGTGAGTTTGGCAAAATCAGAGTTGTCATTCAGTTCAAATCTAGATGCTGAACAAAGAAGAAAAGTGGCAGATCTGTTTGGTATGCGACAGGTGCTACATCATGATGAATACAAAGGGTTTCCTACTACGGTCATTGGCCTGTCAAAGAAAGCAGTCCCAGTGTCGAGGAATAAAACCCTTTCCAATGCAGCTAAGGAAGTATTCATCAAAGCAGTGGTGCAAGCACAAGGCTTTGTTAGTTTTCCTAATTCCCCAGGGGATGATTCATGAACTACAAAGCCTGATAGTTGGCTTCTGGTTGGGAAGGAAATGGGAATAAAGATGAACTCATTGGCTAAGTTGGGAAGACAGGCATGGAACTTGCTGGGAAGACCAAATTCATTGGTGGCAAGAGTATTCAAAGCAAAATAGTATCTTGATTGAAGCATAGTAGAAGTAGAAGTGGGAATTAATCTAGCTAAATATGGAGAAGTTTGATAACACCCAACAATTGGCGAAGGAAAGAACAAGGTGGAGGATAGAGTACAGGGGAACAGGTCAGAGTATGGAGGGACAAATGGATTCCAGATTGTCGTAATCACAAAGTTGAGACCCATATAATAGAATTGGGGATGCAAGCTAAGGTAGTGAAATTGATTGATTAATGGAAAAAAGACACGGAAAAGCAATGTTCTGCAAGAAAATTTCCAGCCCGTCGTTAGGAACAGGATCTATCCGATAACACTACCCCGAACACATCAGCAGGATATTCTGATTTGGGGTGAGATAAATCTGGAGAATACAAACTTAAATATGGGTATTTTGAGTGGAAAAAGAAAGAAGCAGAGGTGGAAAGTGAATGGTAAGTTCCAGTGGAGTGGCTAAGGGTATGACATCTCAAGATTCCCTCAAGGTGAGAGTCTTCTTATGGTGCTAGGGTAGCAATATCGCCACATGAAGAAATTTGGGCAAACGAATCGAGGAAGCTTGCGATGAATGCCCTTTTTGTGGTCTCATAAAAATTTAAGAGCACATAACAAGGGATTGTGATTGAGCATCACGAGTTTGGAGACCCAGTTTAGGAGATTCATCTCTCCTTTAAGCTTCGTAACCTTGTTTTGCGAGCTAGCCAGCTCGGCCCTAATAATCTCTCTCAATGACTCAATGGTGTTGTCAAGGATTTCAAATAGCTCATTGCGAAGTGCCTCCAAACCCTCTTCCAACCATGTCATGCGTTGCCCAATGCCTTGCATGTCGCCCATGATTTTTTGTATTCTTGCCTCCACTTCCGCATGGCCTTGACGCAAATCCTTAATTGCGTCGATTGACTTTTCCCCTCTTTTCCTTGCTTGGATTAAGATTCTTCACTTGATCCCTTCCTCGTTCATCATTGTAAACTTCGGATACAAACACCATCTCGTTATAGAACCAGGCTTTGATACCAAATGTCATAGGCTAAACCTTGTTGTGTGGCCTAAGTGCTCAAGTTTCGTTAGAAAGCTAAGTCAGCCATCAGTCACAATCGCACACGCTCACAAGATTAGATGAACTCTTTCTAGAGATGTATTGCTCTCAATATTTGTGGAGTAATACAAATGAGGAGGAGGTGCTCCTTATATAGGCCTCACCTCCAAAATGGACGACTAAGATTAATCTAATCCTACGGCTAGGATCTACTATCTAGAATTCTCTACATTAATAGGAAGGGCAAATTGGTCCTAAATGACGAAATTGAAAGTCAATGATCAATTCCCACATAAAGTGGTGGAACTTTCAAGTCTGTGGGAGAGAGGAAGCGTGAAAATGAAATGGGAAGTGAAGTGGAGTGGAGTGTGAAAAATGGGCTTTATATAGTCATGAGGGGAGCGACGAGCATGACCACCACGAAGTCGTCGTGGTCGTCAGTCCCGATTTTTGTCGATATTCTATATTTTCATGTCAGTACACTTACATGGTCTGTACAAAATTGGATTTTGTACATTCTCTCTTTGTCAATACTCTACATCTCCTTATAATTTTCAAAATTTTGCTCAATGTATCATATATCCAAAGGGATAAAATAAATTCATGTTTTTCATGTCACGGTACCAAGCCCTGCCTTGCCAAGTTGGTTTGTCATGCTTGGTACACTCAGCCTACCAAACCTCTTTTGTTGACTTGGTACCCTGTTGTTTGGCACCCTATGGCTATAGCTGGTATGACACCCTGTCATATGGCCCCATGTTGCTATGGGATTCCATGCTTAGCCAAATTTCATGCTTGGATACCAAGCCTGTCTTCCCGTCTTGGTAATCTGTTGGCTCCATACTTAGCCAAATTCCATGTTTTGGTACCATGTCTCCCTTGCCGGTTTGGTACCCTGTTGGCTCCATACAGTATACTTAGCCAATTTTCATGTTTGGGCACCTTATTTGGTACCCGGCTTGGTACTCGGTCGTCTGGCACCCTGTTTTGTCGCCTTATTTCCAGACTTAGTTTTTGGGAGCCAAGTTTCATATCAAGGGGTGGAGGCATCGTCTGGCTATGGGGGCCAAGGAGACGGGTCGGCCATCATGTATGAGATAAGGAGTTGGGCCACTTAGGCTTAAAAAACTAACCCAACAAGGCTCATCTAGCTCTTTTATTTATTAATATTGAGTTGGGCTTATAAATCCATTAACTCTCTAGTAATTAATCGATGTGGTACGAATTGAGTTTTTTTTATGGGTAAACACTTCCTTGTGTGAGTTTGGGAAACACTTAGATGTTCTTATCATGGTCGAGATCACTTTGACTTGCTCCTTCTTTAGATAATTCCCAATATTGCTAGGAATGTTTCCTCGAGGCTTTTGAGGTTCAGAACCAATCACAATTGCAAGTTGACATTTGATACTTTGGTAGTGTTTTTGCAAACCAATGATTGTTGCTTCAAGTTTTTCGAATCTGGTAAGTTGTTGATTAGAAGAACTTCTTCCCTGCTCCTTGTATTGAGGTTGATTTCCAAATATAGGTGGACTTGGCTTCTTGTCACATTGTGCTTCACGAACAAAAGAGGCACTAGTAGAAGTGATATTGGGATAATCTTCAGGCTTCTTTATTCGGGCTTTAGTTGGTAGTTTTAGTTAATGTAATTGACATCATCATGCCCTTGACCTCCATGGCTCCAACATCTAAGTCCTTTATGACCTTCTTCTCCACAAGCTTCACACACAAACATGGAAGTCACTTACTCATTCTTTTGTTCCATTGAGGTTTTCTTTAGTTGATGAGAGAGTTCCTTCATATTCGCACACAAGATGGTAGCTACTTCCTCATTTCCTTGGACATGTTTCAAGGGTTACATTGATGGTTGTTTGGAGTTTGGACTAGTTCTTCGACTTCCTTGCTAGGGTGGCGAAATGATCTTAGCATTGAGCTCTCGTCATTGTAGTGAAATCACCATCGGCAGACTGATTTACCATCATTATGGTATCTCGATCTAAACTTTTGGCTAAGTACTTAACAAACTTCTCTAGTGTGAATCCATGATGGGGGCAATGCTTTGAGATGCTATTTGCATCTCCTCCAAACTTCATAGATTGTTTCTCCTTCCTATAGATGGAATAGTGTGATTTCATCTTTCAACTCATCTATCTTCCATGGTGGAAAGAATTCTTCAATGAAAGCACGTGCTAGGATTTCCCACGTGGTGAAGGTGTCTTGTGGATGGTAATCTAACCACTACTTGGCCTTTCCTATGTGTGAGAAAGGAAATGTCATAGTCAAATTGCATCTCTAGTAGCTTCATTTCCTATAATGGAATTGACAATCTCCAAAAAGGTCTTCACGTTTTTGCACCATTTGGATAAGTTAAGTATGAATCTCAATGTTTATTGGTGGTGCAACAATGCTTGATCATGTATTCGAGGCTTTGTGTCTTGAATATTCATACATAGTAGGTGGGACGACTACTCTTTGCTCTTCTATCATTGTTGGTGATGTAAAAGAGGATATGAAAGATTTCTTCTCCTAGATCAAAGCTGCAGCGTTCGTTAATGTTCTCCTTCCAACTAGAGTTGAACTCTTGATGGGCAAGCCCCGAAATCTTATGTTCTCATTATATAAATGCTTATCCCTTTGAGATCAACAAGGGTGAACTAGATGTTCCTCCTTCTTTGATGATATCTTCTACTATATTTTGTATTTTTTACTTCTACAATAGTTAAAATTGGACTCATACGATAACCTACCAAATGGATTAAAATTAAAACTAATAAAGAGACACAAAATGGTTAGATGCTTTTATATATGATTAGAAATCTCCATCAACGACGCTATAAATCCGATGTGCATTTCGTGTAGTAGTAGTCATATCAATGCAAATTAAATGAAATCAAGTTATAAATCCTAGAATTGTCTAGGGTCGTATTCCACATGATCTTCTAATGCATAACTACTCACATCTAACCACACATATCTTGACAAATAAAGTAAGAAAAGTAGATTCGTTTAGGTGGTTTTCAAGTTCATAAAGCAGGGTCTACTAAAGAAGAAAAGTAAAGATACACAATTGAATTGGAAGATCACTTTATATAAACATATATCTCAATTCTCATTCATATCATGCATAAATATTTATCTATTGTACCACTCTATCCCTTCTACTAAAGCATTTCTAATCAAGCTTTCTCCACATGTGAGACGAACTATAACTACCTAATGCATGCTTTCGCTTCATGTCATCACCTAGTAAACAATGAATAGAGAAGTAATGATATCACTTAGTTAAGTGTGGGCTTCTTGAGCCATAACATAAGGTCTATACTCTATATCATTGGGGATCTAACAATCAAGCATTGATCTTATACATGTAATGGATGTGTGACGAATCCTCACATACACACATAGGGCAATTTGATGTCACAAGAAAATAGTTTTCCAACATCCTAAATGATATTATAAACGATTCATATAGTAGCATACAATAAAATAATAAACATCGAAATAAAAACATCAATGGCATTGCATAAATATTGAAATACTCAAGCAACAAAAGACAAGCATAACAATAAATCCTTGAATGAAATAGTCATATATTATAATTGAGGCGTGATAAACGAGCTAAGCTCAGTCATACATAACTGAGGCGTGAGAAGAAAGATTTGATTGGGCATTGCCTTCACCACCACTGTTGATGGTTCTGGAAAAGTGGAAACGAACCTTAAACTCTAGAAAGTCGTTGACTATTCTAGGTGTAAGGAATGATTAGGCAAATAATGAGAATTCTTCTATGTGTGACACATGTGTCTGTATGAAGAATCATAATATTGAAAGTCACATTATCATATTATTCTTGAATGCTTGAGATAAAAGTAAACTTTTGTTTATCCAAGCTACATGACCCATAAATAAGTGATTAGATAATCAGAATCAATAGATCTGATTTATGTTGGTATGGGTAAACTTGATGGAAAAGATAATAAATAATTTATTGCTCTTTAGAGTGCTCTGATTGTCTTACTAGTTATTTTAAATGGTTTAAAATGCCTAATTGCACGGATTATTAGATATGTGACATGCATGTGGTAGAGTTAGAGAATCAGTGTAACATGATAACTAGAAGAGCATATGAGTGTGTAAGTTATTGTAAAACACATAAGTGTATGAAATGAATACTCATTGTGTTGTGGAGTCCATTGATGCCAATAAATTTTCATTTGAATCAAGAAATAGTGGGGGTGATATCCTACCTGCCATTAGAAATAATGGAACTAGTGGGGGGTGATAAATTTGAGTATGAACTTACAAGAGACAAATGAACCATAAATCACTAAAGGATTTTGGTTATGAATTTGTTATTTACATCCTAAGAAAGATCCCACAAGTCTGCTTGAAGTTTGAACTTCCATAAATATGCAGATTCGTGGAAGAATCCATTATTAACGAAATGGAATTTGTGGAGTCTAGTAAGACTTAGAATCACGTAGAGTTGCCTCTTGGTGGTAAAGCCTTGGGTAATATATCGGTGGAACCGAACAAGATTTGACATCTTTGAGAATTACCTCCTGGCAACGAAAGCCAAGGTAATAAATGGATTCCTAAAAGGAAAACTAAAACCTGATGGTTTAGTTTATGATTATAATGATAGCCTAGTAGCTAAGGCTTTAGATGAAGAGGAAAATCTGTAGATTTCTTTGATATCTATTCACCAATATGTAGAATTTTGTGAATGGTGATTTGAATAAAGAAATCTACATTGGGATAATCTTAAAGGTTGTTATTCTTGAACATGCTTATGGAGTC